GGTTTAGTAGAGGACAGGTACAGTTGGACTTAGTGACCTCAAAGGTCTTTTCCAACCAAGCGATTGTATGAAAATGGGGGGAATGGAGATGAGGACAGGGAGGGGTTGGTGTTTGGCTCACAGAGGCTGGGAAGGGGCAGAAAGGCATTTACTGAAGTGTGTTTTTCTGTGTTTCTTTCCCCCCTCAGTACTTGAATCAGTGAAATGAAGTTTGTGTTAATTGGCGATAAACCAGCTCAGATTGTCCTGAAATGAGACTGTTTTGCCTGGGATGGCAGCTTTTGGAGACTCTGTGGGACACCCGGCCCTGTCATGGCCCAGAACTGATGTAACGAGAAGGACCCTGGAAGGAGCCACGATCCTGGTCCCAGGAATAGGTGGTGGTGGAAGCAGCGCAGCCAGCGTGTGTCCAGGGGTGAGTGCAGACTGTGTGTGAATAGCTGGAGAGAGGAGGGACCTGGAAAGACCATTGCTGGGTGGGAAGGTGATTGGGAAGAGGTACAAGATGTGATTCCTCCAAGGAATTGTGTGGCACTGCTGGGGGCTGGTCTCCTCTGAGGGCTGGCTGCCCTCTGGTGCCCACAGGGGAAAGTGCTGAGTGGCTTCCTTGTCCCCAAAGTGCAGGTGACAGCAGTCAACCTGTGTGTATTTCACCTTTGCTTACAGGAGAGAGGGTGCATGAGGTCTGGAGAACCTCAAGAGCAAGTTGGGTCTGAACCAAAAGCAGCTTCCACCATGGGTGGAATGGATCATGCTGCAGGCTGCTGCCTGCGTTCAGCCCAAATCTCCCTTGGCTGTGGCTGGAGCTTAGACATTGGCCCTGAGATCATTACCTGAAGTTAGGGGAGATGATTCCCCTGCTGAGAGATTTCAGCAGCCAGCTGTGACTTAAGAGCAAAGGGCAAGTACAGATGTGCAGAGCGCGTCTGAAATACAAAGTGTGTCTTGGACAGCAGTGAAATTCTCATTTGTTTGCCTGCAATAGGCTTAAAACCTCTTAGTTCTGTACAAAAGTACTAAAAGTACTTGTATTGCATCCCTCTGCCACATTTACTCCTGGCCCAGGGGTTTGTATGTTACCTTCTTCAGGAAGGGTGTGCTGCTGTGATGCAGCTGTGCCCTGGGGCTTGCCATGTGCTGCTAATGGGGCTTCTGAGGGACCAGGGCTGCTTAGCAGTGTGGGGGAGTCAGGCTGATGATCTTTATTGGAGTAGAATCATCACAGAATGGTTTGGGTGGGATGGGACCTTAAAGCTCATCCAGTTCCAACCCCCCTGCCATCAGCAGGGACACCTTCCACTAGACCAGGCTGCTCAAAGCCTCATCCAGCCTGGCCTTCAACACTTCCAGGGAGGAGCAGCCACAGCTTCTCTGGGCAACCTGGGCCAGTGTCTCACCACACTCACACCAAAGAATTTCTTCCCAATATCTAATCTAAACCTCCCCTCTTTCAGCTTAAAGCCATCACCCCTTGTTCTGTCACTCCCTGCCCTTGGCCAAAGTCCCTCCCCAGCCTTCCTGAAGCCCCTTCAGGTACTGGGAGGCCGCTATAAGATCTCCCCAGAGCCTTCTCTTCTCCAGGCTGAACAGCCCCAACTCTCTCAGCCTGTCCTCACAGCAGAGCTGCGCCAGCCCTCTCATCATCCTTGTGGCCTCCTCTGGACTTGTTCTAACAGGTCCATGTCTTTCTTGTGTTGGGGGCTCCAGAACTGGACACAGCACTCCAGGTGAAATGAATCATGTCCATTAGGTGCAGGTGACTGCAGCTGACTTCACCTCTGTTCACAGTAGAGGGAGAGATAGTGCATTAGGTCTGGAGAGCCTAAAGGGCAAGATGGGCCAGAGCCAAGAGCAGCCCTGGCCCTAGGCATAACAACTCAACTGAATGCTGGTGCCTGGTCTTGCCCAAACATCTCTGGGCTGTGACTGGAGCTCAGAGGTTGGCCCTAAGGTGGGTGCCTGTACCTACACTGTGGACACCTAAAGTTAGGTGAGAAGAATCCCCCCCCAGGCTGCTGTGTGTGACCTGGGCATGAAAAAAAGTGTAGCCAGTGCAGAGTGTTTCAAATATGGAAATATATTAAAAAAAACCCCAAACCCACAGCACACTGAAAAACAAAGGGGCAAGCACTGCCCCTTGTACATTCTGAGTCTTCTGTTTGCCTCTGGTAAGTTGTAGCATTAAGATTTGCGCTCACATACATCTGTACTTTTTTTTGCCTCATCTTGAAGTTCTATGTTACATTCTTTTGGAAGTTTTGATTGGAAATATTTGGATAACTTCCATCTGAAAAGCATATCAGGTCTGTTCTAGGGACTTGTGTATGTATATATATTTTAGAACACCTTGTGTGATCTGAGTATATCAGTATGCTGAGCAGAATATTTGCACATTGTTTTCTTTTCCTAGTGGAATGAGTGCTTTTAAGTACTAGCAACACCTAAAGCTGTAATGTATCTGAGGTTCATTGTCCTGTCTCTCTCATAACCATCACACTCAAGCCAAAAGTGCAAGTTTTATTCACACTTCATTTGAAAACAAAAGCATTGGGGTGTTTTTTTTTCAAGCACATAAAAAGACTTAAGTTCTTTTTGCATTTGTCATGGGATAAGAGAGCACCAGGCACTGTGACAGTACTAGGCTGAATTCACCAAGGAGAGCAGTGGAGGAACAGATGTCACACATGCAGTGACAGTTAACTGAGACCATCCCTCATCTACCACTTCAGAGAGTCAGCATGGTCTCACCTGGAGGGGGGGAAATACAACACTCAACTGTGACCTGTCTCAGTGTCAGGCTCTGGGCAGTGGCTCAGCATCACCACATAGTATTACATCTTGTGTCCTCATTATTTTGGATATCTACATTCATGTTTCTCCATAGTCTCTTTTATTGTGGGGTTTTTATGTCAGCACAGGCTGGCAGTCAAATCAGTCCCCACTGTCACCATGTAGCTTTCCAGCCCTTCCAGTTCTTGTCCTCCTTTCACTTCCACATCCATAGCTCCTACTTACCAAGACTCCTCACACAATTCTTTTTTGCACTGGTTCATTATATCTAGTTATTCTACTCCTTATCAAGGCAAAATCTTGATGCTGCTGTGACATTCTACCTCTCCACTTGTCATCTTTCATACACACACTTATACTTACAAACAATGATGGACAATGCAAGTAGCTCAAGCTTCTGTAAGTGTAGACTTGTTGTACACTAAATTACAACAGAAGTTAGTGTGGCACAAGCAGAAGTCACAGAATCCCAGAATGGTGGGGGTTGGAAGGGACCTCAGGAGATCATCCAGTCCAACCCTCCTGCTAAAGCAGGTTCCCTACAGCAGGTTGCACAGGAAAGTGTCCAGGTGGGTTTGAACATCTCCAGAGATGGAGACTCCACACCCTCTCTGGGCAGCCTGTCCCAGGGCTCCAGCACCCTCACAGGAAAGAGGTTTTTCCTTAAGTTTGTCTGGAATTTCAGTGTTCCACAAGTCAATCAGCATTGAGTCCTAATACTATTACAAAAGCAGGTTTTGATTAATCATCTTGTTCTCAAGCAAGTTTCCAGACCCCCCAGTTGCTCAAGATACAACTCAAACTTCATATGCTTTTGTCAGAGCCTACAGCTTGAGCTGGTGTGGATGTTATAGATCAGAATGCAGGAGTTGTACTGCAGATGCTCTGTCTCCCCCAGCCCAAGGCACAGTGCACTTATGGACCCCTCAAGTGCCATGCTGTTGAAACCCCTCCTAGCTATCCTAGCACTGCCCAGTAAGGCTCATCCACATCCTCCACCATGAGGGAAAGGCTTTGTCATGGGAAAGCTTTACTCATCTACATATAGTTAGAGACCTGTCCCAGTTACCATTACCAACCAAATCAGCCCACAGTGACACCACTGCACAGCTTTCCAGCTGTTTCAGGTGTTCATCTCCTGTTGCTTGTTGATCCACAGTCCATATTCAACTGTTCTTGTCAGCATTGCTCTATCAACCAAAGCTTAATATACCAAAGTATTCAACTTTTGATCAAGACAAGATCTTGATCCTCCTGTGACATCATTTAAAATTGATTATAGATGATGGTTTCCAATGACATGGTTGATACAAGTAGCTTGGTTTGTCATTTTTCACATCAGACTAGAACTTCTAAGCCAGTAGTAATCAAAACATTTTTTATTTTGGATAGGAATAAAATCAAACACTAATCTTTGTCCAGTTTCAACCTGTAAAAGCATGTGACTGAAAGAAGACCCAGTATGAGCTGGTATGCATCTGCAGGTCTGGACCTTTCTCCCACTTACTCTTCTTTCCAAAAAAGCTTTGGGCTGCACTCAATCTTCAGTATTCTGCATTGAAAGGGTACTCCTTGTGATTTTTGCACCTGAAGGACACAAAAGCAGCAAGATTACTCTCAAGGCTGAAGTAAATCCTATATAGAACTACACTGGCTGTACAGAGGAGCCTTCAAGGGAGGGTCTGAATTGTGTAACTGCAGAATGAATTTAAGAAACTTACTAGTGTAGAAATGGCACACATGACCAACAAGGTCAAGTCTTATCCTGTTACTCAGGCACTGAATAGTGGTGGGACCAAGTTACTTTCTAGATAAAAGAGTTGAAGTTCACACTGCTTACAGAGAAAACAGCAGTTTCTGTGGCTTTTCAGCTAACACTTCTTGTCATTCTTCATACCACACTCTAGATAGTCATTCCCTCCCCTAAATTCCTATGTAAGAGCTGACATCAGTTTATAGTAGTAATTTTTTTCTGTGAGTTAAAAGTTTAAAACTGCCTAATACTCATTTCTCCAACATGGACAAAGCCAAAGTTATCAACCAGAACCCTTCTTTTAGAATTCCAGGCACACAGTTTCCTGAAGAAAGGATTCACAATGAGTGCATAATATGACTTACACTCATCCTTTAGTCAATAAAGTGAAAATATAACTCCACTAAGATGTTAAATAACAGATGCTTCATAGAATCATTTTGGTTGGAAAAGACCTTTTAAGATCATAAAGTCCAACCTTTTTTATTTTTCTTCTTTTCTTTTCAGCTGAGATAAAGCCAAAGCAGACAAATGATGAGTTAACATCAGCTGTTCCGTTCATTGGCAGGAAGCTCTGCCTATAACTTGTCCTCCGATTCTAGGTTGTCTCATTAATCTCCAGGAGATGGGTCATTTAACACATTAAACATTTGGGCAGGACAGGCAGAAATAGGAGAGGAACAAAATAACAGGTGACATCACTGTTGCAAATGTTCTCCAAAGTGAAGGCCTGGTAAACAGAGCTATGGACTCCATATATTCCCTTAAATTATTTCAGATTTCAAAATACACCAAATTTAAACAGCTATATCAGTACCTGGGAGATTAGAATGAAGATTATTGAAATTATAAGAGTATGAAGGAAACAAGCTGTAACTCACGCAATCATTTCACAGATCCTCCAGTTTCTGTTTAAGCTGAGAAGGGCTGACATCTCCTCTTTAGTCAATTCAAAGTCAAACACCTAAAAAGCAAAATATTTAAAAATCACCTCTTAGAACAAATCAAATCAGAAGCAAGAGTCACAAGATTAAAGAACAAATTCACATGAGAAAGACTGCTGGTTAGAAACGACAGCTTCATGAGAGGGAAAGGAAAAGAAATCTCTTTGGATTTTCAAGACTACTGGCAGAGGGAAGAAACAAACAAGATCACCATGTGCATTTACATGTGCCAGCTGTTCTGAGGTGTTCAGTGAACACTCAAGTGTTGCAGAATGCCTCTATTTCTGGAAAGATTCATTTCTCTCCAATTCCACATCTAGGAGACTTTCATATTTCATTAAATCCAGCTATGTTGTTCCTGAATTCTTGATGTCCAATATCAGGAAAAAAATTCCTGGCTTAATAGTCAGAGGAGCAGTGTGTTTTACTGACACCAGGACTCTTCCCTTAATGTCACTTACTCTGTATTTTGAGGAATGGGCCTGCACTGGGACTCAAAGCCCTGCCTGCCACTTCATCCACAAGTCATGAAACAGGAGACACTGTGTAAGGTAACTGATAAGGTTCTCAGCATATTGTTTCCAAGAGCTCTGTCTATCTCTTTCCTCTGTAAAACTGTAGTTTTCATTGTAGCCCCAGCTTCCAGACAGAGAAAGAAGCCAGTCCTCTTGTCTGAGGACTTGAGAAGGGTGAGAAAGAACCACTGCTTGCTCTGAAAGGAGGAGCCATGCCATCCCTGAAGGGCAGCACCCAGCTCACTCATAACCACTCACCTTGGAGTTCTCCACAATGCGCTGTGGTGTGACAGACTTTGGAATTGCAATCACATTTCTCTGGATCTGGAAGCGAAGGAGAACCTGCAGGAACAGACCACTGAGTCAAGAGAGAGGACAGCTCCTGCTCTGGAAGAACCAGAGCCTCCTCCAGCAGCTGTTTGCCCTGAGCTACACCCACTTCTACAGAGCTGCATTTCAAATCATTCCTGTCCCTGTGGCCTAGGTAGCACTTCCTGAAGGGCCAAAGAAAGAAGTGGTGGCAGCCCACATGGAAGGTCTCCTTTCCCATCCAGCTTTGGGACAGTCAGTTCCTTTTCTTCCCACCTGGACTTGCAGCAGTCTATGAAAGGTTTTCATTCTGTGCAAGAGGACTTGAGAGGGAAAGTGACATCTGAAGATGGGTCAAGAATCTTTTCTGGATGAGGGTTAAAGAGCTTCAAGTATATTTTGCAGGCCACATAGTGGACAACCTGCATTGCTACTTAACACCACAGAAGAGCACCACAGTTTCCAGGGGACACTGATAGAGGCTCTACTCTCTCTTCAGGCTTAGTTCCCTTAATGTCTGTGTTACAGGAAGGAGTGCCCACTGTACTGCACCTACCTACCTACCTGTGCTGGGGTCTTGTTGTGCTTGGCTGCGATCTCTTTGATCTTGGGGTCATCCAGAAGGGAAGGATTCTCTGGCTTAGACCTACACAGAGACAAAAAGGAAGAAGTGGCAGAAAGATTCTACCTTGTATGAATATTGTAAAAAAAAAAAAGTCTAAGTGTGCACACACACCTGCACTATTACTCATTCAATTAGTCAAAATGCTTCAAACTTAAAAACCATGCTAATGCACTTGGTAATTACCTGTCAGGGCGCCCAAGGGGACAATATGCTGTCACAGTGATCCCTTTGGATTGGCAATAGTTGATAAGCTTTTCTTGGGAAAGGTATGGGTGACACTCAATCTGCCAACACAGGAGTAGAGACTGTGTAGAACAACTGTAGTGTTCCCACGCTCCAGGTATTTTCTTCTGCATCCTAATGTCTTAATTATACAGGCTGCCTTAATCCTACCCTGCATGTGGTCAACAATATAAGACTATAATTCTATGGGGCACCACCTTTTATATTGAGTCCTTATGTGCTTTTTGGATTTTATTCCAAGAGGCTTTATAAAAAGTCATTGATTACAGTCACAATGATAGCTTGTGTCTGGATTCTTGATCCCTCCAGAGAGAATGCTTCATAGGGAAATACTCCAGAACTTCTAAACAATGGTTCAACAAGGTCAGACAAAAAGGAAGTACTCCAGTCCTTTTTGTACTGAGAAACAGCCACAGATTTAGTGGGATTTAGAGTACCTGCTGTGTTTAACTTTTTCTCCCTTTTCCCATCTCCTCATTCAACTGTAATCAGATCTTTATAATCCCTGAAAACTATTCACCTGCAGTCACTTTGCAGCTTACCTGGTTATTTGCAGGCTTGTGCTTCAGTCCTGGCTTGTTCAAGATTCTTTCAGTCTGCTCACGGTTAAAGTTGGAGATTCCAATGGCTTTTACTAGACCAGCATCCACCAGCTCTTCCATGGCCTAACACAAAGGGGAGCAAAGTCATAATTCAGTATACAAGACAGGTAATGAAGATGTTCTTCCTGATATGGCTTGTTTCCCTTCATGGGAAGCAGAAAATAACTGTTTGGACTTGCCAAATTTTTGATGCTCAAGGGGAAAGTGGGTACTGGTAGAATCTGTGCCATGTAATCTCTCACACCAAAGCCCAGAATCATTGTTAAGACTGAAATTCACTGAGTTACACAAGGAAAAGAAGATTCTAAGTCCACTGTTGTGACAGCACCGAAGGGCTGTGCCCTAGGAGGACAGCAGGATCACAATCCAAGTGTCTTATTTCTGCAAAATCTGTTTGAGCAGTTTAAGAACTGCATGAGAACTGTGGTGAAGAAAAATTGTGCAGTTGTGGTCAAGTAAATAACTTCTTCTAACCTCAGTCTTATCTTCAGCTCCACTGGAAGTGGCTGTGCAGCTCAGTGACTTGAGATGCTAATCCACAGTGAACAGGATCAGCAGCTTGACTAAGCATGCAGATTTTTAAAAGCTACTACATACTGTTGTGACTTCTTTCCAACTAATTCTGCATATATGAGCCATTCTGTGACTGCTGAAGCCAGCACCACTGCTGAGGATAGAAAACATGATTCTCCTACTGTGGCTGAACTTACCTCCCACGTCTGTAGAATATCTGTGTTGCTGGGTATTGACATGCCTTTGTCATCTGTAGGAAGCAGCTCCTCTCCTGCCTGTCAGCAAGAGAGAAAATGCTTGTAAAATCTGTTGAGAAGTTGGCTTCAAGCCATGAGAGCTCACAACCATGATAGCTTGAACTTCCAGTGCAGGCAAGAATGCCAATTCTTGTATACATTCAGTCACTCCCTCCTGAGAAGTGGAAGGAATTGAAGGCATTTTTGCCAGTGACCATCCCATAAAGACAGGTTTTGTCACCAGACCCCTCAAAGTGGTAAGTCACCCAAGCACCTACAGGGAAACACCACTCAGAACTATAGCCTCCACTTTTCTATACATTCACTTTGTGTATTGTTCTTTTGTGACCACTTAGGAAGACCTGTTTTGTTCATCAGGGGACCTAGTTAGGTACTGGGAACACGTAGCTTTGGTCTATATAGCATCAGATCTGATGAAACTACAAGCAATGACAGTTCTTCCATGACAAAGCTCAGTGTAAAGCAGCTAATACTGGGAAAATTAGAAGATCCTTTGTGTACAAGTTAGGAAAAGACAACAAAACAGTGTTTAACTTTGTCACCAGGAGACAGTTTAACTTTTGTGACTTAACATAAAGCTAAAATAGAGTATGAAATAAAGATAAGCATCTCAAAAGCAACAGGTAGGATGGAGACTGATCAGACTGTAGCAGGAAGGAAAGGCTAAGACTAGAAATAATCAGCCTGAGACATCAGCTCCTTCACTAATCTATGAAAGGGTTTAGGCCCTTAAGAAGTTTCACCTTTTGAATTCCTGTCTCAGTGGAACAAGACTAAGGCTCCTACAGGCAAGGTCAGCTCAATCAGTGCTGTAATAAGAACTCAGTGATTAAAAAAGAAATGGAAAACAAATATTTTATTTTGCTCTGTGACTCTGTAATATGCAGAGGAAAATTTCTGACAGACAGCAAAGTGCAGCCCTCCTTCCCACAAAGGGGTAAATTGGAAGTGAGCATACACTGATTGGTAAGACAAAGGGAGAACAGCCTATGTTATGCCTGCAGCTGGGAAACCTGCCCCTGGTTTTGACCAGCATTCCTAGGATCAAAGGGGCATGCAAGCAGCAGCCTCAGGGGCAGAGATCAAGAGCTTGGTTGACATGGCCAGAGTAAAGCTGAGCACCAGAGCAGTGCTGGTACACACAACAGACACACAATTGTCTTCTGCAGCCAGAGCAACTGTTAGGCTGAAAAGCCGTATAGCTCCCCAAAAAGCTGTAGTCACAAGGAAAAAATCCAAGGGCAATGCTGTTACTGTACCTTCAAACCAAAAGGCCAGTGGATGAGGTAGAGATCCAGGTAATCCAATTTCAGGTCAGCAAGAGTCTTCTGGCAGGCTCCCTTCACCAGAGGTCTGTCATGAAACGTGCACCACAGCTAGAGACAAAAAAAACAAGGCACATCATGACCTCCTGGGTTAAAGCTCTCGCATTATCTCCTGCACAGGACAGAACTGCTCCATCTTTGGAAGGTGATGTGGAATGAAGCCATCCCAGTGCTGTTCAGATGGCGTTTGCTCTGTGATGGGACTGACCCGTGACACTAAGGGCACTATGTGCAGTGGCAGCACGTGGATTTGAGTAGGATCATAACAGAGCAAGTCCTGTGGTTCCATTAGCTCAGACATCACTTGTGCTGCCCCTGCTACACAGGCTCTGCCTTTGCAACAGGTGCTTTGAAATGCAGACGTGTATCTGTTATCCCTGACCACGCATAAAACTCATGACTCTGGGTGAGTCCTTTGCACCGAGTGATCTCAGAGCTCTGCATCACGGGTTTCTACCTTGCTTGGTGCTACCTAGCCCACTCTATCCCCTTTTCCTGCACCACTGCTCTGCAGGTGGCCTCATCCATCCCCCAGCACTTCTGGGTCTCCTCAGCAGAGTGCCAGACCACAGCAGGGCTGTGCTGCTCAAGTTCTCAGTACATTTTGAGTTGAAATCACAGTCTTGAGTTCCCACAGTGTTATCAGATTGACTGGAGAAGAAAGCTGCCACCAGCCAGTGAGTGATTCTTCTCCTTGCTCAAAGCTCAGGGAACTCTTCCTTCCTGAACTTCTTTCATCCAATGGCTACAACAATAAAAACTGCTATCAGTGGACAGGAAATAATCAAACTATCGCTGAGCTGATGAAGTGAAACAAGAAAGTAATTACAGATAATGTGTTATTACCAGTTTCTCCAGTGCCACAGCATAAAAATACTTTAGTTTCCTACTGTCAGGACATCACAGGTAACACAAGTCTGTCCATGATCCAAGATTATCTGATCCTCACCTTACTGACAATGAAGAGATCC